TGATGTAGACATAGATGAGATGCAGAGGAGGAGAATTGCATAAGGGTTACACTTGACCAACATGCCCCTGAGAGTTCACGAGGTAAATGCTATCTGTTGTTTCTCTCAGCCATTGGGTCAAAACCAGGGCCAATTAAATTGAGGAGTGTTTTCCAGGGGCGGGTGGGTTGGTGGGCGTGTAGACTGACTAACATTTCTAGAAACAGTAGCAGTTTGCTGCTTGGATTGCTTCCCTGTTCCTTGTTACAAGAGGGTTGAGACAATGAGCAGCTAGAGAGAGAAGGTGAAAACAGGTCTTGAAGTCAACAATTAGTACTCACCGTTACATAAGAAGTTCATTTTAACCTTAATTCGCAAAAAACAAAAAGAAAAGAGAAGAAAATCTTAATTATCAAAAAAGGAGAAATGCTGTGTAGGTGGGCATTAAAACAAACATCTCTACTTTGAAAGTTATCTACAACTTATGCAGAGTAGAAAAGGTAAGCTGAAGATTAACATGTAGACTATGTCTTTGAGAAAAAAAATTATGTGTATATTGTGTTTATATATGTGTATCTACAGATGCACAGGAAAATGTCCAGGCACAGATACCCCAGGCTGTGAAAATGGTTGCCTTGAGGATCAGTTAGGGTCAGAATGGGGGGTGAGAGGTGGGTCTTATGTGCACATGTGTGTACACACACACACACACACACACACACACACACACCCCTACCAAAACAAGAATGACAAAGCAATTGCCCATCTGCCAAGTAGATAATATATATCCACCTAAATTTTCTTCTTTTATACTTTAATTTTTTCTATTTAGCCTTTTTTGATTTAACAGCAATTATATATGAAGAATCTGCTTTAGCAAATAACCAATTATTCTAACTTCATTTATTGAATACCTCTTCTGTTTTCTATTCATTTTAAATGCTGCTATTAAGCCAAATTTCTACATATAGTAGTGTTGCCATTTTTGTTTCTGAGAGCTTGAAGATCTTCCCACTTATTATCATTCAGTCATTAAACAGACACTCACGGAGTCTGTAAAACTACATACGTTGTTTTAGGCACTGAGAATGCAGAAGTAAACAAATCAAAGTCACCATATGTTCTAGTGGTTCATGAATTGGCAAAACGTGCTCTACTTCTTAGCAAAGTTTGCAGTTCCCAGTAAACTACATGCATCACCAACTCTGTTAAGGCGGCCAGAGCAAACTGGAGCCTGGGAACCCATGTTTCTGATCGCTGGGCCAAGAATCTTAGGGACAGGATCACAGAGATGATGAGCAGGTAAACCACAGAAAACTGAAAAATCTGGAATCTCCTCCTGCTCTTATAAATTTATCACCATAGTGATAAGGATTCTCAATGTGAGGCTGGACAGAGTGAGTCTCAGCCACAGTAGATGCAGAAATGTGCTGAGGGGAGGCAGACATGGTTCCTGCGTCTGAGTTGACTGTTCAAGGAGTCCCAAAAGTAGACAAGGACTGAGCACAGGAAAGGGTACTCAGAATATGAGAAAAGACCGACGCTCAGAGACGTGAAAGAACACATCACACGGGAGAAGAGCAAGGAGACTGTAGTAACACAGTGCAGGGCAGGGGACAGAGCCAGGAGCTGGCAGGTGGCGGGAGGAGGATATAGGTGGAAAGGGATAAGGAATGACAGCATCAGTCACTGCCATAGTTCTAGCTTGGGGGCTGGGTGGATGGTGGTTCTATTACATTGATGCAGGCAAAGAATGGAAAATAGAGAACAGGAACATTTAGTAATTCTTCATGAAAGCAGGATTCCATAAAGTAATCACTCCTTATTTTGATTTCCTTCCAATTTTTTGTACATTCCTTGACCTATTACTTTTTACAAAGCACATGTTATATCAGCTCCATGGACACCCAGCACTAGACCAGAAATAAGCGCTTGAGGTATTTCAGCCATAACACTTGTATGCCAGGGATCACTTTTGTGAAATATTTGTCCCTTCAAGTTCCTATTAATGTTTGATTCCTCCGGAAGGCCTGCAGTTTGCCTATAGGTTTCACATTCCTAAGGGCTTGCTTTTGCTCTTCATTCCTGACTGGGGTGGAGGGAACCTACCAAGGCCAAATTTCTAAGACACAGAGCAAGGGTTTTCCAAATTCCTCAACCTTATTTTTTTTTCCAGTTAAATTTTATTCATAGTAACTTAGAATTAGAGCATATATATTTTATTCCATTGTCATCAACTATCTACTGGACCTACTTAGGACCCAGTAAAGCATGTCCTGGTATAAATTGGGAGGTCCTGCATTTTCCCCTACATATCCATTGTATCTCTACCACATTCCCTAATCTTGCTCAAATGATTTTGTTTACACTCTTATTGTCACCTGCATGGGTTACCATGGCAAGTCTTCTGTATTATTTTCCTATGACACCAATAGGTGGCTTAACATGATAAAAGTGTATTGACTAACAGTGCTGGAGTCTAGAAGTCTGAAATCAAGGGATTGGCAGGGCCACACTCACTCCCAAGCCTCTGTAAGGATCTTTCCCAGCCTCCTCTGGTTGTAGCTCCAGGTGTCCCTTGGCTTATGGCAGCACAACGCCAATCTCTGCCCCTGTCTTCACATGGTTGTCTTCCCTATTTGTGTGTGTTCAGATTTCCCTCTTTTTATAATGACACTCGTCATATTAGATTAAGGGCCCACCCTTCTCCCGTATGACCACATTTTAGCTTAACTAATTACACCCACAATGGCCCCATCCCAAAATAACATCCCATTTTGAATTACCATGGATTAAGATTTCAACTCCTAGCATCTCCTGAAACCAGCCTGTTAGCTAAGTCTCTCTAAATCCACTCTCCATTCTGTTGCAAGAGTGATCTTTTTAAAATGCAAAAATAGTCTCTGAAAAACACACAAATAACAATAGAATAACCACCAAATTGGTTAGCACGGCATGTTCCAAATCACTTATAGCTAACCAATTTTTTTCGCTGATTTGTACATTTTTTAAAAAAAGACTATTTTTGTAGAACAGTTTTAGGTTCACAGCAAAATGGAGCAAGAGGTATGGGGTTTTCCCACATATTCCCTGTCCCCATACATGCATAGACTACCCAAGAATCAACATCCATGACCAGAGTGGCACATGCGTTACAAATAATGAGCCTACACTGACACATCATTCATTAGGACTCAAAGTCCACAGCTGACATTAGGGTTCACTCCTGGTTGATGAATGCCAACGGCGCCAGTGGCCCCCATGGACTTCACTGTGGCCGAGGACCAACCCATCAACCTGTGTAACAAGCTGCCACCAGCCATGGTGCTTGGCATATCCTCCTACCCCTCTGATGGCTGCAGCACCGACTGGCTGTGGAGCCCTGTCAAATACAGGGTGAAGACTACCCCGAGGTATGTGGGGCTGGGCGCATACCTCTGTCTTCTCTTGGGATTTAGTGTCTTCCTTCATCTCCACCTTGGCAGGAGCCTCCTTCTCTGGGGTGGCTACGTTTTTTCTTATCTCCAGCCTCTTCCTTCTTGGCTTTGACTTTGGATTCTTTGGGCTTTTCAATGGCAGGTTCCTTTTTTGTGTGTTTTTCATTTTATAAGCACTTGATTTTATTGCACACACGCAAAGTGGACTTTAGTGGAAAGTGTGCCCTGGTATAATTCAGTGGCCAGTGCCCGGACCTGCCTGGGTCACTCTTCCAGAATAGAGAGCCCTGGGCAAGGGCTTGATCACTCCTTTGGAAAACAGAAGGCATTTGGGAATAGGTTATCTCAAGCATAATGTGCTGTAATTGCTCATTCATTATTGAGGTCATTTCACAGTTACACACAGAGGCAATAAATGCACTTATTTGGAAAGCAGGAGGCAGTTTTTACAGTCAAGTGTTTACGTGTGGCATTCAGAATATATCACATTCAGCTACATAAGCTATCATAACATAATTGTCCATCTCGTGGGGAGGGCGTAGGGGCAGGGGGCTGGCAGTACCCTCTCTTGCTAACACACTGCTAACAGAAATTCCTGTTTGAAGAAGGAGGCCCCGTCATCTAAGCAGTTTCTTCTTACATAAAAAGAGAAAAAGCGAAAATTGCGTGACTCCGATCTTTGAGCTCCAGGACCCTTCTAGTTTCTCTGGCTGCTGTAGACGTTTCTTTCTCCCTGCCTTTCTTCCCCTTGATGGCTTTGTCTTCTGTGGCCTTCTCGAGAGGCCTGCCGTCTTTTTGGTCTGTGCCGGAGGATTTTTCAGCCTTTTCCACCCTAGGTTTGCTGGGCTCCTTTGAGAGGGTCTTGCCATCCTCCTTGGCTTTGGCCTCTGTCTTGAGTTTCTCCTCAGGCTTCTTGGCCTCGGTGGCCTTTTCCTCCTGGTGTCTTTCTTCTGGGGTGCGGGCGCGGGCGCTGCCGCCTCCTTCTCTGCTGGTTTGCTGGGTTCCTTGGCCACCTCTGTCTTCTCTTTGGGTTTAGTGTCTTCCTTCATCTCTACCTTGGCAGGAGCCTCCTTCTCTGGGGTGGCTGTTTTTTTCTTATCTTCAGACTCTTCCTTCTTGGCTTTGACTTTGGATTCTTTGGGCTTTCGATGGTAGGTTCCTTCTCCACTGTGGACTTTGGAGCCTCCTTCGTGGGTGCCTCCGCTTTCTTGCTGTCCTTCTTCCCCTCTGCTTTTGGCGTGGTGGGAGCTTTCTCTTCCTCTACCTTCTTCGGGGCTTCTCCTCCTCCTTCACTGGCGACTTCACCTCTTCCTTCTTTGGGATCTCCTTCCCAGGGGCCTTGGCATCCTCCTTCAGGAGAGACTTCGCCTTCTCTGGGGGCTTGACATCTGCATTGGCAGGGCTTTTGGCCTTTCCGGGGATTTGTCTACAGGGGACCTTGCTTCCTCCTTTGTTGGAGTCTTGGCCTTCTCAGGGGACTTTGCTTCTTCCTTCAGTGGGGACTTGGCCTTCTTGGGAGACTTGACTTCAGCTGGAGATTCTGCCTCTTTCTTCTCTGGGGACTTGGTCTTCTCTCTCTGGGGACTTGGCCTTTTCAGGGGACTTGACCTCAGCTGGAGATTTTGCTTCTTCCTTCACTGGGGATTTGGCCTTCTTGGGAGACTTGGCCTCAGCTGGTGACTTTGACTCTTCCTTTCCTGGGGACTTGGCCTTCTCGAAGGACTTGACCTCGGCTGGGGATTTGGCTTCCTCCTCCTCCAGGCACTTGGCCTCAGACGGTGACTTTGCCTCTTCCTTCACTGGGGACTTGGCTTCCTTCTCTGGAGGTGCAGCCTCTTCTGCTGGGGGAGACTTTGCTTCCTCTCGTTCCCCTTCAGCCTCCTCCTCTTCAGCCCCTTCTTCTTCTGTGTCCTCCTCCTCTTTGGCCTCTTTCTCCTCTTCTTCAGTCACTTGGGTCTCCACCGTCTGTTCCTCCACAATCACAGTTTCTCTCTCGACTTCTCTACCACTTTGATCTTCTTTTCGCTTTTGACCTTTATGTGAGTGGACATGGAGGGAATTTTGGGGAGTCCTTCTGGAAGTGATAAAGGAATCGGGCCAAAGCCAATCAGACACTCTTCGCCTTCTGGGAGTTTTCTGATATATTCTGAATCACTCTGGCTATCTCTATATCTACAGCCATCTTGACATTGAGCAGGTCCTGGTCTTCTGGCAGCTGGGCTGCCATCTCCCACTTGGTGTTCCTCAGCTCAGCGTCCAGCTGCTGAATGGCTTCCTGGTAGGAGGCAATGTCGGCCTGATGACGATCCTCCAGCTTGGAGCGCTGCCTCTCCAGGGAGTCCTGGAGAGGCTCTGGAATGGGAGATGGCTTGGAAAGTACCCTCAAGCCAGGCCCCCTTCTCTGGGCCCGGTTCCGCATCTGTGAAGTGGAGCTGATGGCCCCTGCCTTGGTAGAGGTGGTAGATGGATATGCATCCCCACAAGCCGGCCCCCTCCCCAAGAATACTGACTGCTGTGGGTAACAGCAAGTGGCTACTTTCAGCATAGAGAGCTACAAGGCCTGCTTTCTCTGTGTGCCTGTCCCTATTTTCTAGGGTGTGCAAAAAAAAAAAAAAAAAAAGGCAAGGGTCCAGAGATGTGGGCAGTGGAACTCCTCCTTGGACCAGGCTGATGGAGGATGGGAAGGATGAACAGGGCAGGTTCCCCCACCGACAGCACCCCCTGCTTCCTGGGGCCCTCCCTCAGGCTTCCACAAGCTGCCTCCTAAAGTTACCTGAAGTAGTGTCTCTTCACTAACCTGGGCCAGGGTGCCAGAGGCACCTTCCTGGAGCTCACACTGCTGGACAGGCTCTTCTCCCTCCCTGGGCCTGTTTCCTCTGTTGCAGGGAGAGTGGAGTAGGCACTAGTTGCCTGCCTCAGTTGGAGCATCTTGTGGGGAAGTTCTCTACTGTGGGCTCAGTGCTAGTTGTTGCTGTGTGTCTAGTGCAGGTGACGGAGCAGTTTCTGGCCAGAGCAGGCTTTGCCTGGGTCCAAGGGGCAGGCATAGCTACTCTTCCATGGAGGGGGAGAGTTTTGCTCAGCAGCCATTGCCACTGTGGCCACAGGATACATGCCGAGGGGTGAGGGTGGTCAGAGGAAGTGAGAGGGGAGCAGGAAGGCCACCAGCAGCTCCCATCTTAATTTCCTCTATATGTCTGCCCTGGCCCTGGCCCAGGATTTGGTTGAGGAGTAGCATGGGAATGTGGCTTGCCTGGGGCCACACGGCAGCTGTGGTAGCCAGCAGGAGCCCGGGGAATCCTGCCCCTATTAAAGAAAAAAATTCTATGGATTTGGACAGATTCATAATGCTGTGTATCCACCATTAGAGTATCATAGAATATTTTTGCTGCTCTACATAGAAATCCTCTGTGTTCAACCTATTCATCCTTCCTTCCCACCTAGGCATTGGGAACCAATAATCATTTTACTGTCTCCACAATGTTGCCTTTTCCAGAATGTCATAGAGTTGAAATCACAGACTATGTAGGCTTTTCAGACTGTATTCTCTCACTTAGCAATATGCATTTAAGTTTTCTCTGTGTCATTTTATGGCTTAATATCCCATTTCTTTTTAGCACTGAATCATACCCCATTGTCTGAATGTATCACAGTTTATCCATTCACCTACTAAAGGACATCTCAGTTGCTTCCAAGTTTTGCCAATTATAAATAAAGCTTCTACAGATACCTATGTCTAGGTTTTTGTGTGGACCTAAATTTTCAACTCCACTGGGAAAATTCAAAGGAGCATGATTGCTGGATCATATGGCAAAAGGATGTTTAGATTTATAAGAAATTGCTTTTATAAGAAACTGCTAAGGTGTCTTCCGTAGTGGCTGTACCCACACCAGCAATTAGCGAGAGTTCCTGCTGCTCCACATCCTTGTTAGCATTTTGTGGTATCAATGTTCCGGATTTGGCCATTCTAGTAGATGTGCAAAGGTCCTCATTGTTTTAGTTTCTATTTCTCTGATGACATATAACGTGGGGCATCTTTCATATGCTTGTCATATTGTATATATTTATTAGTGAGATGTCTGTTAAGATCTTTAACTCCCTTTTAAATCTGGTATTTTGTTTCCTTACTGTTGAGTTCCAAGAGTCGTTGGATGGTTTGGCTAATAGTCCTTTATCGGGTATGTCTTTTTGCAAACATTTTCTCCCAGTCTGTGTTGTGTTGTTCTTTTCTTTTTTTAAGACAGGGTCTTTTTTAGCTAGGACTTGTATTAGCTAGGACTTCCAGTACAATGTCAAAAAGCAGTAGTGAGAAAGGATATCATTGTTTTGTTCCTGATCTTGGTGGGAAAGCTTCTAGCTTCTCATCATTTAAGTATGATTAGCTGTAGGTTTTTTGGTACATTTTTTAAGGCAAGTTGAAGATGCTCCTCTCCATTCCTAGTTGAGAGTTTTTTTTTTGTTTGTTTTTTTAAATCATGAGTGAGTTGGATTTTTTCAGATGCTTTTTCTGTATCTATTGATATGATCATATGATTTTTCTTCTTCAGCCTTCAAATTTATTAACTGAATTTGTAATGTTAAACCAGCCTTGTATACCTGCCTACTTTTCATTGACTCTTCACTATAGAATATTTTAAATTAGAATATACTCTACAAGTGTTTAGAACAAAGTGCTACATGGAAGAGCTTCTCATCCTTTTTTTATTTTTATTTTTGTATTGAGAAGTGTAATTATAGCTCAACTACTTCCTCAGGCACTGTATCACTACATTTTTGCCTCCTTTATTAGTACATTTTTTGGATAAATGTTACTACAAGAAAAAAGCTCATTAATTTTATGATTCTTTTGAATGTTTCGTCAAATTTAGATGCTGCAAAACTGAAGGCTTTATGAATACATTCTACAGAATAGGAATTTGTCCGATTAAACACAGTAGCTCAAATGAAATATTCTTCACATAAGTTTATATACACCATCTGAGCTCTCAGTATTTATTTTTCTCTGTTCCTTCTTTTATATAGAATCCAATGCCTTCCAGTTTGTAAGCCTTTTAAAAAATAGTCACAATTTACTAAAAGTTTCAAAAAGCTTTTGAATATTCAATTGATGATATAATTTATAGATTTCCAACTAAATTTGAACAAAATTACCGAAATTTAGAGGATTAACTTTCAAAAGGCTTCATATTTTTATAGGACGCTTGGATTTATTTACCAAGTACTTCTTCAAAGGTACAGGCATGTCAAAAATCCCACTGACAAATAGCAAAGAGAGAAAGGGAACTGCTATGCTGAGAGTGTATGCGTCCATCAGAATTGTAGAGGCTGAAATGTGGCTGATGTGACAACATCAGGCTGTTTGGCTTCTTTCCATATCTATGCTGCAGGTTAACACCAATGGCTTAAATAGTTTTTTTCCTGACAAACAGTCCAAACTCTGGAATAATGGTATAATGACATTACCCTAAAAATAAAGTCATGCTCCACAAAAGAATAAAACTAGTCTGTTTGTTTTTACATTTTGGAACCTGGCTGATTAATAGCCTCCTCAAGTCCTTTTCAAAATAAGTACTTTCCAAAACATTACCATTTTTGGATCTCCATAAGTGTTTGTTTGTCAAAGTAAATAATATAATATGGGTTTCCAATAGACAAACTGACGTCCTAAGTACCTAGTATAGCAGTTATAATATCCTGTTATAATAAAGAACTACTTAATAAGCTGTTGGGAACTACTCTCCTATTCATTTTATAAGAGTAGAAATTAATCAGAAGTGCCCACTTACTGTAACACACTTACAACATGATAAAGAGCAACATAGGTAATGTCCTTGCTGTGATTTTTATGATACCTCATACTGGTTCAGGAACATGTGGAGTTGCTGTACACTGATTCTCAGATCAGTCTCATTGAACTCATAAGGAATATTCCACCCTAGGGGTCCAAATTTCCGTCTTTCTTGCACCAAAGCATGAAAGAAACACAGGCCATAAAGCAATTTCTTGAATTCCTCCTGTAATGAGAAGAAATGATGCCACATCATTATTTTCCTCATATATTACGTTATATTTACCATATTTTAAAATGAAAGTAAATTCCTTTCACTTATAAATAGCATAGGGATATATTCATCCCAAATTATAACAGAATTAAGTGTGTTTCTATAGCTCTTCAGGCAAAGTATATCCATCTGTGTACATGTTCACATAGCTATGCACACATAGCTACGTACCCCAGGTTTTTAGGAAGCATGGGAGGCTCATCTAGTTTAATGCTGCCTTACAAATTTTGGAGGTCCCTACCGAAGCATTACAAGGCAACACAGAACAATTCCAACGTGTGCTCCCAGACCACCATGGAGAAATGTCAAAGGAGATAATCCAAACTAGTCAGAGCAGCCTAAAATGCACAAGAATAGGAAACAGGCAAAACAGAACCTGAGAGAGGATTTGTGAAGAGGTTTCCTGGGAGGGAACAGCTGTTATACTGGGAGTCCCCTTCCCCAAACCCCCGGTGGGGAGGGCTGTGTGGGGTCTACCCTCTAAGTTTGAGTTAGTGGAGAGGAATTGACGGAGCCTTGTGGAGGGTTGACACATGCCCCCTGCAGCTGAGGGTGGAAAGTAGGGGGAGGATGATAAAAGTGAAGTCGCCACTCCTCCAACAGTGGGCGCATCCAGTGGGAATCCCAAGGAGCAGACGGGGAGTGTGGGCTGAGAATGGCAGCCAGGGGTCACTTGGAAGGTGTCCTGGTCAAGAAGACTTCTGCCACGGGGTGAAGAAACCCCAAGAGTAAAAGCCTGTATGAAAGGAGTGCTAGAGACC